TTCATGGTATGGATGTGGGTTAGAAAGGATAGTTGAGGGTCAAACAAGATGCCAAAGTTCCTGACTGGCTTAGTAAGGTGGAGTGTGTATCCATGGATGGTGATGGTGTCAGCACCTGAGGTGTGGAGGCGCTGACGGGAGCCAATCAGGAGAGCCTCGGTCTTCGTTCAACCGAAGAAAGTTAGCTCTCATCTTGATGTCCGACAGACATTCTGTCAGCACAGCAGTGGTCCTGGAGTCAAGGGTGGAGGCAGAGAGGTAGAGTTGGGTGTCATCCGCGTACATGTGGAAGTTGACCCCATGTCTGCGGATGATGCCATATGGAGCATATAGATATTGAAAAGGAGGGGATCAAGGACCGAGCCCAGAGGAACGCCGCACAAGATGGTGTGGGGGCTAGAGGAGAGACTGTTTGTGGAGATGAAGTAAGAGGTACGATCTGAGCCATTCAAGGACAGAACCGTGAAGGTTGAGGTGAGAGGAGAGGAGAGGTGGTGGAGGATAGAGTGGTCAACCCGTCCCTAACCAGAAAAACACTCACAGACCTGCAGTCACTCAGTGACTCTTCTTAAACTATAGCTAAGATGCATAGTTGGCGCAGTACCAAGTGACAGTGCTTTATAGGCACTGTATCAAATGCAAAGATTATTATCTAACCATGCAAGATTAGGTCTCTCTTTATAAAATACAGATCAACATCCTGGAATCCCCTTGTTTACTTCAGTTTAAAAATTCAAAAGCATGAAAAGTTACAGTCACCCTAAGTGAGATAGAGAGAGAGAGCAGGACAAAGGGGAGTGAGAAAGAGAAAGCGAGAGAAAGAGAAAAGAGCAAAAAAAGCAAAAGAGAGAGAAAGTGAGAAAGGGAGCTAAGGAGTGAAAGGGAAGATGAGGGAGGGGGAGGTAGAGAAAGTGAAGGAGACTGTGAGAAAGAGTTGAGTTTGGTGACACTCTCACTGAAACCATTTTCCATGTTGCCCAATGTTAAGGTACAACAGATTTCTCAGAACTTCTTGAATTCCACTAAATTGCAGCGTTTAGCTGGTTTCAATGTACATTACAAAAATTTAAACGATGATACTGTAGCAGATACCAATTCATCTTGACCCTACGGCCATCTCTGGCAAAACTGGGTCTGCGAAAGTTAACCTCCTTGGAGGAACCCTTGGCAATGGGAGTGCTCCTCTCTCCCCCAACCCCCCCGCCCCACCCCACCTCTGACAGAAACAATTCCCCAGATAAAATTGATCATTGAATTCATGGCTGTTTGTGGGACGTTGCTGTCCACAAGTAGCGGCAGTATTCACCCATAAAATACACAGTCACTTCACTGTACAGTATATCCTGTAAAGCATTTTGAGAATATGATAAGGTGTTATATCAAATGCAACAATTATTATTATTAATAACAGTTAACACTGGCTTTGGGCCCCCGGAGGATGTTCCCAGTTTATTTTTAGCAAATAAAACAAGGGATGAATCATTGAGAAGACATTGGATATTCCCCTCCTTTGTTGACATCAAGGATCAAACAGAAATTGATGACTTGAGGTAAAATTAGAATGTCAATATCCTCCTATGTTGTTTCCCTCTGATTTCCAAAGCCAGTCTCTCCGATGGAACAATCACATCCTTTTATACTGAGGACTTAGCACAATGACCTCATTGCAGCCAACAATATCCAACTGCGATCCTTCAGATTGCAGACACTTCATTAACTACACCAGCCCTGTAACCCAGCACTGGGGTGTCAGCCCTGCTCACAGCTCAGAGAAGGAAGAGGAAACACAGATCAGCCTGTGGCTCTCGTGTCTGCACATAAAAAAAAGTCAGCATTTATTTTCTTAATTTTATTTTTTTTAAAAAAGCTATTTTAATTTGCCCTCTCTCCCACCCCCGCCACCACCCACACATTCAAATCCCCACTCTCTGCCGCCACATATCTCACTCTTCAAATAGCTGCTCGGAAGGTGCAGAAAAATGGGGGGAAACTTCCTAATAATTCCCCCCAACCCCACCATGCTAGGGTCTCCCTCCCTCGTTATGTTCTCTGCCATTCTCCTCACTCCCCCACCCCATGCACCTCTCCCGCTGCCTGGAAGGAGTTAATGAATTTGCAGGAATTAAGATACAGGGAATGAATCCTAACAAGTTGAAAGTGTCAGACTAAACCAAATTAGCAGCTGAGGTGTGGACAAAGAATGATCATTGTACCAAACATCTCCTGAAACAAGCACCCTTAAACCAAGGGACTCCTAAACCACACACACAGGCATCAATAAGAAGGCATTGCAGAGAGATAAACTCATATTGAATAACTATCCTTTCCTCTCCCCCCCCTCCCCCATCCCACACCTACCCACCCCACCAACAAACCCACCCAAGCTTAACTTTCACAGGAAAACGAGAGTGTAAATTAACTTCCAGAAAAAAAAACTAAGTTGAGATGCAGCTTATTAAAATGTTTCAGAGTCGGACATTATTCTGTGCTGAGTACTGAGCCATTCAGCTAGATAATAATAACAATGACAAAATACCTGGTGAACAAAATATCAACCTCCTGCAAAAAGTAGGAGGTTGATATTTTGTTCACCAGGTATTTTGTTATTATTAGGTCAAATATATTAAGAAAGGTAACATCCATTCACATGTAAAGTAGCAATGTTATTGGTCTGGCTGTCCCATCACTGAAAACCATTTAGAAATGACCTCTACAGATAACATAACAATAATAATCCTTGCATCTGATATCATGCCTTATCAATCAGTGTGTCGAGACATCTCAAAAGCGCTTCACAGGATATACTGTAGAATGGTGTGACTGTGTAGTGTGTGGGCTGTTTTTGACGGGTTATTTACGAACAGTCCCAGTGCCCTCGTTTACAGGGAAGCCCCCACATCATAGGGCAATCGCAACCGGCTCCAATATCAGCTGCCGCACACTCACTCGCTCAACAAGTGTAACCAATTACATGCTGGAGGAGCTTGGCTGCGAAGTCTCTGGTCACTTGGTGTATGCTCTACCCTTTGCCCCCCACACACAAGCGGTAGGATGTGTGTTTAATGAGATTTGCACCAAGATGTTGGCCTCACCTCACTTCTCCCACCCTACCCCTGGCAAACAACAACCTTATTTCCTTGTCAACTGAAAAGACGGGGGTAAATATATATATATATATATATATATATATATAAAACCAGGGTCAGAGAAAGAATGGTATTCTCTCCCTGCTGGGGGCTGCTATATTTTTCCAGACAGAATGAATGACATACTTAGACTTCCCAGTCAGAAGTGCTGGAAAATCCGTCCTCCTGTATAAATAGCTCCATCCAGGTCGCGTTGACTCTGGATCCTAGATTCATGTCACCAACCAGCAGCCAAGAGACTCACGGCTATTCTGAGAGAACAAACTCTCTTCACAGGGTCAACGCTAAGCGTCACTGGCCGACAGTTAACCCTTTCAGGTTAAGAATCCAACTCTGAACTTGAACAACAAAAAATGATATATCTCTGTTACCTCAAATAACTAATAACAAGGGAAGGAGGCCAAGAGAGAAAAATGGGGTAAAATTGGGACACTCCAATGCAGTGCTGGGGGGGTGGTGTGGGGGAGGGTGTTGCATTGTCAGAGGTGTCGTCATTTGAAATGAGACGTTAAACCGAGACCTTGTCTGCCTGTTCAGGTGGACGTTAAATATCCAATGGCACTATTCAAAAAGAGAGTTTCTCTTGGTGTCTTGGCCAATAAATCCCCCAAATAAAATCAGTCACTCCCATGGTTGTTTATGAGACATTTCTGTGTGCAACTGCCTGCTCCGTTTCACCCACAAATTACACAGTCACTCCTATATATATCCTGTGAAGCACTTTGAGACATCTCAACAATGTGATAAAATGCCACGTCAAATGCAAGGATTATTATTAGGATTATTTATTGTACACAGAGGGCAGCGAGGAAATAGAACTAACTCACTGTCGGAAGCCGAGGTTGAAAGAGAAATTATCAGTGTACTTAAGAGTGAATTTGATGTACATGTAACAGAAGAGGAGGGAAAAGATGGGTAAAAGTAAAGGCCAGAGAAGGAAGATGAGGACGGGTGGAGGCTCGTGTGGATTATAAACACCGGCGAGGACTAGATGAGCCAAATGGGCTGTTCCGGTGCCGTAGATTCCATGTACTGCTCTGTAAATGGTTAAGTCACTCTGATTGCAAGTGTCTTGATGGGTTCCACAGCAGAGCAGGTCAGGTAAATACCAGCTAACAAACACATGTGGAAATACACAACATTTCTGACAGTAACCCGCTTGGGAATAACACACAACAATCTCCACACTCACAATCCTCAGAGAAGTAAATAACCACTGTATCACCCCCTCTCTTCCCCCCGCCCCCACCCGCATGCAATAAACCCCTGTAATAAATCCCTGCCTTCCTCCGGATTAACTCCATAATACTCTCCCTGTGAATAAGCACCTGGGATGCTCCGCATGTGAAGGGCATTATATAAATCTAAATTTGTATTGTATAATCCCTATATTAAACCCCCTTTATAACCCCCTGAAATACCCCCCCATAATAACCCCAACTAATAACCTGTATTAACCCCGGACGAACTTGTGCACATGTACAGTGAACTCCTAAGAACTCATCTCTTCAAGGGAAAAGGACTCAGTAATGAGTTATCTGGAGTGGCGAGTTCGGCATAATAACAATAATAAATACACGCATACATAAATAAATGTGGCCGGGGTATTGACAGCATGATGACTTAAATGGTAGTGACAAGTTAAGCCAGGGTCGAGTTATCAAGTAGACACACGTGTATTGGTACCTGGGCACACCTGTTTACCTCTTTCTTGCAGGCGCTGAGGCCATTTCTCCACCGTGCCCTCCTCCCCATTTGGCTGCCCGCTCGCACTGAGGAAATTTCACCCCCCTCCCCCCGAACAGCCCTGTGCACATCAACCCACAAGGAAGCCAGTGACGGCCAGGCTCTTACCTTTGAAGCTCAGGTAGACGCGGGGGGCTGAGCGCTGCTGAGCCCTGGCCCTGCCAGACCCCTGGGGCAGCAACAGGAGGCAGGAGGCAAGCCAGAGCTGCGGGACCATCATGGCTGGGATCGCCCTGGAGAGGAAACGGCAGCTCTCACACCTGGATCAGGACTGAAGCACAAGGAACAAGATCGCGATCATTATCACATCCCACAGCACAGCCCACTGATGCTCGGAGGCGAGAATGCAACTGCCTGAGCCGGGCCAAAACCTCTTTATAATATTTATAATAATATTAATGGAAAAACGCATGTTCGCACTGATGTAGCATATGGGTGAGGCTCACAAACAAGAGGGACCCAGGCAGGGTTTCCTTACACAAGTTTCCTTACTCCGCACGCCTGTTTACCTAGCAGTAAGTAGGAACCCGTCGGTCCGAGTGGCCTGTTTCCATGCTGCAACGTTCTGTGTAATTCGATGTGAAACCAAACTCCGGTCGACGGTTAGGCAAACGGCTCAGTGCTGATTAAAGGCGGCTAGTGATCGCGTCACTCTAATAGAACACGGCTCCGAATAGCGTAGTGACTTTACACAGCACAAGGGGGATACAATGCCCCACTCCTCCCCCCTCCTCCCGGGCGGTGGGGAAACCAGGCTGGTGTTAATTATTAAAGAGAAACGCCTTGTGCCCCAGAAACTGATGGTAAATCACAATACCAGCGAGTGGGAAGCACAGAGTGAAATTCGTTCTCAAAGCACTAATTAATCATTGTTTGAAGCATTAGCTTCAACTAATTCAAATAAGCCCTTTGAGTGCGGTAAGCGGATTCCAGCTGCCACACAAAAATAAACACTTATTACAGAATTCGAAAGGTTGTTTTGCCCACAAAATACACAGTCAATCAATCTTACGATTTATATTCTGTGAAGCGCTTTGAGACGTCTCAACGACACGATAAGGCACTTTATGAAATTGAAGGATTATTGATACGTGGAGTCCTGTAGCTCAGTGGGTAGAGCACTCGCCTCACAAGCGAGACCTGGGTTCAATTCCCGGCAGGGCGAAACCTTGGGCAAGTTTCCTTAATCCACACGCCTGATAATAATCCGTCAAGAAAAAAAATATTTTGGTCACTCAATCCACGACTGTTTGTGGGACGCTGCTGTGCGCAATTGGCTGCCACCTTTCGCCCACAAATACAGTCGATTCACTTTACAGTATATTCAGTGAAGCGTTTTGAGACGTCGAGAAGACGTGATAAGGCACTACATCAAATACAAGGATTATTATAATTATTATCATTCACTCCTTCCTGCCTCTCCACATCCCCTAACAGCACCCCCTCCCACCCTAACAGCACCCCCTCCCACCCTAACAGCACCCCCTCCCACCCTAACAGCACCCCCTCCCACCCTAACAGCACCCCAACACCACCCCCTCCCACCCTAACACCACCCCCTCCCACCCTAACACACCCCCTCCCACCCTAACAGCACCCCCTCCCACCCTAACAGCACCCCTCCCACCCTAACAGCACCCCTCCCACCCTAACAGCACCCCCTCCCACCCTAACACCACCCCCTCCCACCCTAACACCACCCCCTCCCACCCTAACAGCACCCCCTCCCACCCTGCCCCAGATTCTGTGGAGAGATGGGGAGGCACGAAGAGATCAATGATGGTGTGCAGGTTCCCTGCTGGTGTGAGTGTCAGGCGGAGGGGCAATGGGCAGCCACATTCCTCAGGTGCCTGATGCTGTTGCGACCTTTTCAGCCATGTTTTATAACCGCTCTGGTTGTGTCGATTTAAAGCTTTTTGTCACTTTTACTGACTGCCCCTCACAGGCCAGACATTCCGCCACTTTAAAGCCTTGCCTGAGGTGAGGATTTCTGCTGCCCTCAGCGCGAGGCAGGCTGGCTCGTGGGTGCAGAGAGAGAGAGAGAGAGAGAGAGAAGGAAAGAGAGAGAGAGAGAGGAAAAGAGAGAGAAAAAGGAAAAGAGAGAGATAACTCGCATTTGGTACAGAACCTACACCATCGAAACGTCTCTCTGCACTTACTGTCAAAGGCAATGACTGTTTTTACGACCATGTAACACCCATTACCTGGTCGTTCATTTACAAAATACACAGTAACTATACTTTACTGTTTATCCTGTGAAGCACTTTTAGATGTCCTCCCAACTTGAAAGGCGCTATATCATGTGCAAGGATTATTATTAATATTAATTATTATTATGAACATAACAAGATTTTATCTGGAGGAATCGTCTGCCACGAAAACACCAAGAAACTCCCCAGTTTTGTGCCCGGTCTCGGTGACTAACTGCTACAAGAACGGTCCCTCACAGGAAAAATTAGCAAGTGAGCAGGACCATCCTGTGTGCGGTTTATCAAGTCCCATTTACACAGAGAGCGTCTTTAATAATATGGAACAGTAAAACCTTTGCTGCCGTCTTTGTTCGCAAACTATCCAGTTTCTGCACTTTACAGTAAAGGCAAAATAAATCCTTGCACTTGACATCACATCAGGAGTACGTCTCAAAAACACTTCACGTTGTTTAACGTAAAATATGTAATGACTATTTTCGTAGGCAAACACGGCAGCCAATCTGCTACGGGTAACATTGAGACAAAACAGCCGCAAAGCGATCGACCGGTTTCATTTGTTAATTTTATCTTATTTGAGTTAGGAACTTGCTACGAAGCACGGAGAGAGGTTTCACCGTTTATAGGCACAGCGTATCAAACGCACAAAGTATTACTACAATTATGAAAACAGAATACCAATTTATACTGCCCCCTTCCTTGCTGCCCCCCTCTCCTCGTTGCCCCCCTTCCCTCCTCACTGCCCCCCTTCCCTCCTCACTGCCCCCCTTCTCTACCGCATTCAGACCTGGTATTAGAAGTTAACTCCAGCAAAACATCGCACATCAGAAAACCAGGCTCACTCCATTGCCAAACTAAACATATATGAATTCTCTTTCCGCACAGCACATGTTAAGGTTCTGGGTCCAATATTCAGCTTATTTTTTTTGAACAGAATGTCAAACAAAATAAAAGGTAAATTGTCAGGAATCCAAATTTGTGCAGTGGGTGCGTACTGTATATATGTTCATGTGATGCCTGTGCAGAGTGGATATACAGCCTTTGTATATGTACTTGTACATTTTTGGGTGTGAGTGTGTGTGTATGTGCTCTCTGTGTGCAATGTGTGAGTGTGTGTGTGTGTGTGTACAGAGTGTGTGCTTATAGGGTGTTGTGTATTTTGTGCTGTGTTTGTGTTGTATATGTTTGTGTATGTGTGCTGTGTGTATGCGTGTTGTTTGTGTGCTGTGTATGTTTGTGCGCTGTGTGTGTTTGTGTGTTATGTATGTGTTTGTGTACTGTATGTATATGTGCTGTGTGTGTGCTGTGTGGTGGAGCACAGTCTGAGTGAGGTGTGCAAGGGGCAATGATGAAACCATTAGGTGGTTGTTTCTTGGTAAGAAGCTCACAGGGTAATCTGGAAAACAGAGAACAAGGCAAGAAAGTGACATTTACTTACTAGGTGTCAGTGTCAGACAGGAAGGGGAGGAAGAGAAGAAAGAAAAAAAGTAACTTATGATATATCACCCTGGCAGCTTCTCCTGAACGATTACAAAGGTCAAGGTTCAGGCTCGCAATGAACAATAACTTGTTACAGCCTGGTTCCTGGGAGTATTGAAATAACACTGTGTGTCCTTCAGGCTGCACAATGGGAATCATTATTCAACAGCCCCCGTTATACAAGGTATCTATTTATGTGTCTTTTTTTATAATTAGGAAAGACAGCGTGATATTCCTGAGAACTGGAACTTTTACCAAGCAGATTAAGTTAGCAGTCATCGATCTGAACTGACCTCAAAAACCTAGTCATTCTGACCCGAGTAACTTGACTCCCACAACACGGCCCCAGAGCCAGAGGTGCTCAGGCCTCCTGAGGGAAACCACGCCGTTCGTCAGAGCTGCAGTGACAAACAGCCTTGGGTTACCTCTGTGACAGCTCAGCTTTCCAGGATTCACAGAACGTGCATCGTCGTTTGGCTTGAGGAAGCTTTGGCGTTACTCTGATCACCTAATGTAACTCTTTACAGGGAGAGAGGGAAGCAGGGATGGGGAAGGAATACTCCACTTAACCAGAGATACAAGTTTTAATAATAATAATCCTTGTTACAGCCTAGTCTATTTGATCCAGCACCTTATTATACCATCAAAACATCTCAAAGTGTGTAGTGACTGTGTATTTGTAGGAGAATGTGATAGATCAATTTTATTTGGGGGATTGTTGGCCAGGACACTGGGAGAGAAACTCCCTTCTCTTTTCAAATACTTGCCTACCTGGAAAATACAGAGAGTATGAGCGTTGGTAAATTACCCATTACTGGCCAGAAACCCATCTGTATACAACCAAGTTTCCTCTTAAATACATTGATGTTTCCTGGAAATGGAAAGCACTGACAACTCAGCTCCCACACAGAGCAACTATTGCATCCTACACATTCAGTACTAACCCAGGCAGCACAAAATTCTAGTTACTAACGGAATAGGGGTGTGTGTGTTTACAGAAGGCACGATACTAGGGTGAAGCATAGAGACCTGGTGGTGGATGACATAATCTCACAGTCTTGACTTCGCTCTTTGATGCCCTGAACAGGCAGACGGGACCTCGGTTTAATGTCTCATCCAAAGACGTCACCTCCAACAATACAACACACACCAGCACTGCACTGGAGTGTCAGCCGAGACTGTGAATTTAAAGTCCCGATGTGGGGCTTGAACCCACAACCTTCTGACTCAGAGGCGAGAGTGCTACCAACTGAACCAGGCCTCCTCCTTCAAGTGAGAAGGAAAGGAGACAAGCAAAGAAAAATGAAAAAAAAACTTATAACTTGCTCACGCACGTAATATAAAAAGGCTTCATCAGATCAACAAGGCTGAAATTGTACTGCTATAGTGTATGATGATGTACTGAGGTGAGTGTTAACAACTGCACCTGGCTACCACCTTAACTTGCATACATAGACCTCCGTTCACCTAGTTAAACATCTCAAACCATTTTGCTCAGTAGGAGTGGGAGACCAACAAGGTGAGCAATTTTCTTTTTTTTTGGTTGGGTGTCTGACAC